ACACATAAAACCCTGTCGCAAAAAAAAAAACCAAAAAAAAAAAAAAAAAAAAAAAAGAAGAAGAAGTAAAAAGAGTCAACAAGATAGCTGGCCTGAGAGAAAGCTAGAACTGGCTCCTGGAAGCTGTCTTCTTACCAACACACACACACACACCAACACATCACACATCACACACACACACCACACATATACACACACTACACACACACATCACACGTACACACACCAACACATCACACACACATACCACACATATAAACATACACACACACTACACACACACATATCACACGTACACACACACCATACACATATACACACATTACACACCACACACACCACAACCAAACACATAGACACACATCACACACCAACACATCACACATCACACACACACCACACATATATACACACACACACATCACACATACACACATTACATACCACACACACCACAACCATACACACCACACACATAGACACACATCACACACCACACACACACCACAACCACATACATACCACAACCACATACACCACACACATATACACACATCACACACACGACACATATACACACAGATACATCACACGCACACACACCACACACATATACACGCATTACACACCACACACACACACAACTACACACTAAACACACACACATCACACATCACACACCACACACACATACAACTACACACACCACACACACACATACAACTACACATACCACACACACACATACAACTACACACACCACACACACATACAACTACACACACCACACACACACATCACACACCATACACACACCACAGCCACACACACCCTCACACACACTAAAATACCTGTAGAATTAAAAAAAAAAAAAAGTGAAAGAGAGCTGAGGGTGTATGTAGTTCGGTAAGAGAGCCTTGCTGAGCACGTACGGAACCCTAGGTCCAACTCCCAGCACCATAAAATAAACACAGCGCTCAGGTGCTCTGGAAGGTGACAAATTAGGACATGTCATCAGGCCAGTGCAGCCAGCCTTTACCTCCGCAGGGGATCAGAATTCCTTTGGCCGAGCACCTGAGTGGATTACTTTGTGTTTAGAAGTGTTTCGTCTTCATATACAAACCTGGGGTCCGGACTAGAGAACTATCTTAAAAGTTTTGTTTGTTTTCTGAGATAGGATCTTGTTATGTAGCCAAGGCTGGTCCAGGCCTCTATGGCCACCACACCCAGCTAAAACATTACCTTCAAAAACATACTTGATGTGGGAAGATGGGTTTCCTATGTGGGACATCTGTAAACCGAGGTAACTGTAGTTTCACTGTACAATACACAGTCGCCAAATGCCAGTATCAGTCCCCCCTCCCCACTGTACAGCCCTCCCCCCCCCATCCCTCACCGTGGATTCCAGGCACCTGCTCTACCACTGAGCCACATCCTCAGCCCTCTCTTACTTTTCATTCCAAGTCAAGAGCTCACTAAGTTGCTCAGGCTGGCCTTGAACTCACTCAGTAACCCAGGTAGACCTTGAGCCTCATCCTCCTGCCTCAGCTTCTGGAGTAGCTGGGATGATAGCTGTGCTGGCTAGTTTCTTCTTTTTGTTTGTAGAGCCCTTCTGGCCAAAGGGGCTATCGAGTCTGCCCTGTGCTCTCAGCTCAAGGGTCTAACTCCTACCAAATGCTAAGGCCCTTTGAGGGGTATTACTGCACAGCGGAACAACGGTTATCGGAGACCCACCTCAGGTCTCGGAATTCTAGGGCTTTCATGCTGGCCTGGACACACACACACACACACACACACACCACACCAGCCGTGAGACCTCTGTTAAATTATTTAACCTCCATATTTGCCATGGCTCTCCCACCCACAGAATGTGAGTAATTATAGTGCCTGCCTCCCAGGACTTCTGATAATTCAATGGAGTCAGAATATTTAGCACAAGGCCTGCCGCAGAGTCACAACAGGCAGTGTTATTGATACCATTATATGGGAAAACAAAAACATCATGGAGGAGTCAATATGCTACCAAAGCCCCACCACAGAGCTGAGCCCAGAACCAGGCGGAGATGCCGGTGTGGTGTTGGTATTGGCTCTGTGCTTGGACATGCGTGCGTATCAAGCTAGGGTTGAAATTGGATTCCGCCATTAGCATGTCTAAGTGGGGCTGATTTGCATAATATCTGCCCTCTTTCGTCTGGTTTGTCACTTCTTCCAGTGCCTCTGTTCACTCTACCCTGGTGGGAAGGCTCTCGTGAGCTCTGCAGGCACTGCTAACTGAACAGAACGGATATCTGAATATACCTGCTTGTAAAAACCGTGCGCTCCAGAAAACCCTAGGGGAGAGCTCCACCCTGCTCCGGGTATTCTCTTTCTTGTCCCCTCCAGGAGCATCAGACGATCCTGGCATCCACGGTCACGTGGTCATTTTGGGAAGAGGGTGTTCCTCAAGGTGTTCAAGGCTGTTCTCTCTTGAGGCTACCGAGGGCACTGTGATGTGGGGGCAGCAGGGGACTGCGGTACCAGTCTCTGGGGCTCACAAAGATTCCTCCCACCCCAGGCCTGCCTATTGTGTGTGCTGCCTCAGGTTGGGGTAAGGAACCCAACCCTCAGATAAGGGATTCTCTGCCAGGACAGTGCTAGTCTCTGCCCCGGCACCTGCCCGTGACACCGGTTGGACCATCTGGGCCTCATTGCCGAGAAGATTTCATCACTGGGCTCTTTTGTCACTTTGAGGTGATCCCACTCACATGCTAGGGGTGGGGTGGGAAGTGGGATTATTCAGGGACACGGAACAAGTGCTCGGAGGTCAGGGCAGCTCTGATCCTCCTCTGGGAGTGAGGGGGGGTCTCTGGTACATTTGCTTCTGCTTCTCATGTTTCTCCTCTCATTGTCTTCTTCAGCCATCTATATGAAATCCCAGGGTAACAACTGGATAGTACGCAGGGTCTGGGCCCGAGAGAGCAATGCAGAGCTGGGCCCAGGGATGGGTGGGTGCCGTTCTAATGCTCCCAATGTCCATTGCAGTGTGTGTAGGGCACGGTGCCAGAGGGTAGAAAAAAGGGTTAATAAATACACAGTTCCGAGCCTGGGGATATAGCTCAGTAGATAGAGTGTTTGCCTAACATGCACAAGGCCTTGGGTTTGGGTCCCACCATGACATAAACCAGATGTTACTAGTACAAGGTTGTCAGCACAAAGGAGAGGCAGGAGGATCAAAAGTTCAAGGCTGTCCTTGGCTACAGAGTGAGTTTGAGGCCAGCCTGGTAAGCTGGTTAGAGAGCCTTGGAGACACACACAACACACATATATATTCATGCATATACATATACGTGTGTATGTATGTATATATGTATACATGTATGTATATACACATATACACGTGTGTGTATGCTCCCTCATTCATATATACTCACACCACACACACACACACACACACACACACACACACACACACACGGAGAAATAAGGAATAATGGGACCAACAAGGTTGAGTTCTGAGAACTGGAGATAGCAAAAGTCATTTTAGGGACGAAGGAACAACCTGAGACCTTAGTACAAAACAGACAAACAAACAAACAAACAAACCTGTGAGGAGAGAAAAGAGGTGTGTGTGGGGGGAGATAAGACTTGGTCAAACGCCCGGAGGAAGAAGGGGCATGCTGGGTAAGGAGTCCAATTTACTCAGCCAGCGAGTGTGTGGGGAGAAGAGGAAGCTGGAGAGGCAGGCGGAGTCCGCAGCGTGGAGGGCCTTACACCCGCCCGACAGCTTTAGATGGATTTGGCAGGGTGGGGGACACGGAGTGACTGAGAGGGAAAAAAGAGATGAAGGAGGGCTTGCTCGGATGCCAGGTCTTGTAGGGACAGGCTCAACCTGATTCCATCCCATTACCCTGTGCGTGAGCAGACCCATGGCAGCCTCACCTTGCAAGAGCCTGGGGAGTAATGCGAATTGAGAAATCAAAGATATACTGGGAACGGTGTCTGCCTCCCCCTCCTGGAGCCCCAGGGGGGGGGCGACGTGATCCGGGGATGAGTCACCCGGGTGGCAAGCCTGCTCCCTCACATACCCACCCCTTGCTAATATAAAAGGGCCATCAGGGAGGCTCCGCCTCAGAGCGCCCCAAACCGGACACCATGAAGATTCCAATTCTTCCTGTCGTGGCCCTCCTCTCTCTTCTGGCATTGCATGCTGCTCAGGGAGCATCCCTGGGGCAACCCACGGTAATCACGCAGGTGCCGGGGCTTTTTTTAGACCTGTTACCCAGCTGCCACTCAGTATTTCTCGTCCATTCCTGGAGAAGTGACTCCTATTCGTTGGCCGTGCTCTGGCAGCTGGTGGAGAAGCTGGGGTCCCGAAGAGGGAGGAAAGGAAGAAGGGGAGAGTGGGGGGATGTAGCTTGGTGCAAAAGGAAGGGAAAAGACAGAATAACTCTAGGAAGAATGGTACGGTGGGGTAGAGGAGGCAGAAGCTGAGGTGGGCCATTGGGATCCCCCAATCCAACCTTCCTTCCTTTCTAACCCACTGAGTAGCTTCCAGATGATGGGGGGCTCCCTGCTGGTCTAGATCCCTTATGATCTCCCTGGAGTCCCTCTGCTTCTCAGTTGCACTAAGGGAACAGAGGAATGTTCTTCCAGGCTTTAAAAATCTAAGACAAGGGGCTTGGTGGCAAATGGATTGAGCAGGTGGCCTTGGGGAAAGCAGGATCTGCCTGGATCTCGAATGACGTGGGGGCTTTGGCCAGTCTGTTGCATTAAATTTGTACTTATCAGGAATTAGCTGGGTGTAGTGTAGCACCATTGTGACCCCAGCATTTGGGAGGCTGAGACAGGAGGATCAGGAGCTTGAGATTCATTTGGGGTATGTAGTTGAACCCTGCTTTTTTTTTTAAGCTTTTAGTTTTAATTAAGCATGTATGATGCATCTGTGTGTGTGTGTGTGTGTGTGTGTGTGTGTGTGTGTGTGTGAACATGCCAGTGGTGACAGAGGCCAGGCTAAGAGTGTGCTTAGCAATGGAGTTGGAGCCACAGGCAGTTAGGCATTAGGCTCCTAATGCAGGAGCTGGAAACCAAACTGGGGTCCTCTACAGGAACAGAATCTGTTCTTAACCTGTGACCCATCACTTCAGACCCCTCCTGACTGTGTTTTATCCAGACTTAAACCAAATATGTCAAACTGCTGAGCTTTGAGCACTAGAACCCTGCCCAGAGGGCCACATGCTTGTGACCTACCTCTGTGGTGCAGAGGAAGGGATGAGAGGGTGTGTAAGATGGAGAAACAGAGGGCTTTAGGGATGGTGGCCAGTGAACCACATGGTAAATTAGCCATAGCCTGTGAGAGGCAGGCAGCTTACCTTAGGGGTGTGGCTCATGCTAGCGCCCTGGTCTTCGCCCAGCCAGGTTAACAAGCATGGGTGTTTTGGCACAGAAAATCAACAGCCAAACAATGCTAGCTAGTTTTATTAGCTGGGGTCCTTTCTCCACCTTTTCTGCACGTCAACCAGCAACTGGGTGTACTGGATCAGAATGGGACTGGCACTGGGGCCCCAGTGAGAGAGAATGCACAGATGCTCTTGAGGGGAAATTGGCAGAGGAAAAGGAGAGGAAGGAGGGCTGTCAGAGAGAAGGGTTCACTTTGTCTCTGTCACTCTCTTCAGGAAGATACTACCTATGGTTATTACCTTACAACATCAGAAACAGAGGTAAACATCTGTTTTTTCATTCTCCCATATCACTCTGTCTTTCTGGCAGTGGTGAGGCCCCTAATGCAGGAGCTAGAAACCAAACTGGGGTCCTCTACAGGAACAGAATCTGTTCTTAACCTGTGACCCATCACTTCAGACCCCTCCTGACTGTGTTTTATCCAGACTTAAACCAAATATGTCAAACTGCTGAGCTTTGAGCACTAGAACCCTGCCCAGAGGGCCACATGCTTGTGACCTACCTCTGTGGTGCAGAGGAAGGGATGAGAGGGTGTGTAAGATGGAGAAACAGAGGGCTTTAGGGATGGTGGCCAGTGAACCACACGGTAAACTAGCCACAGCCTGTGAGAGGCAGGCAGCTTACCTTAGGGGTGTGGCTCGTGCTAGCGCCCTGGTCTTCGCCCAGCCAGGTTAACAAGCATGGGTGTTTTGGCACAGAAAATCAACAGCCAAACAATGCTAGCTAGTTTTATTAGCTGGGGTCCTTTCTCCACCTTTTCTGCACGTCAACCAGCAACTGGGTGTACTGGATCAGAATGGGACTGGCACTGGGGCCCCAGTGAGAGAGAATGCACAGATGCTCTTGAGGGGAAGTTGGCAGAGGAAAAGGGGAGGAAGGAGGGCTGTCAGGGAGAAGGGTTCCCCATTCACAGGCTCCTTTGTCTCTGTCGCCCTCTTCAGGAAGGTACTACCTACAGTGGTTCTTACCCTACAGGACCAGAAACAGAGGTAAACATCTGTTTTTCCATTCTCCCAAGTCAGGTGTCTTGACTCTGTCTTTCGAGTGGATTCTCTAATAACTCCTTGATTTTTTTCCTCTAGGGCTTTAACAATGGGTTCCTGAACCTTAACCAGTTACAGTCTGTGAGTATCCTAGAGCAACCCCATGGTTTGCCCCACCTCACAGAGGAGACAGCTTATGAAGTTTCTGGGCCCATCTTCATCTTTTCCAGAGAGCTGAGCAATGCTTGGGTGTCCTCTGGAACTGACCAGATTCTGATCTCTCTCTCTTTCTTCCCCCCCTCCCCCCCCAGGCCTTTAAGTCGGATGACTTCCTGAACTGGCACGTCATCACTGATGTAAGTGTTACGGTGTAATTGAGAGCCAGGTGTGGTGAAGTATGCCTGTAATTCTAGCATGCCAGTGCCTGGGGTGGGAGGATCATGGGTTCAAGGCCAGCCTGGGCTACACAGTTAAGGTCCTCAAGAAAAAAAACCTGAGGTTTTACCTAAACCAGGAAAGCTGAATCATTGGCCTAGCTAGGCCTAGCCTTTGTACCTTTTGGCTCTGTGCTTTCTGTGTGACCCCTTGCAAACGTCTCTGGTTCTGCGAGCCTTGGTGTCTTCTTCATCTGCAAAGTGGGCATGGAGACAATGCTTTCCTGAAGAGGTTGCTGTCACACCTAAATGAAAGCATGCTTGCACAGCAGTGTGTACCGGGCTGACACCGAAGGAGGCTTCCAGAACACGGGCGCTTACCATGATTGCAAATCAATAGCACTGTACCTCACTGGTGAGCACAGTGTGTGATTAATGACTCGTGTTTATTATTTACTGGTCCTTGCTCATCTGGCGTGTGTTCCCTGATCCCCATACTTATTCAGGGAGTGTTTACTGATCCTTGTTCACTCACTGAGTTTTTGCTAGTACCTGTTCATTCAGTGAGTGCTTACTGGCACCTGCTTACCTGATCCACTCCCCTTCTTTCAGATGTTCAAAAAGGCGCTTCCTTTCATTAACTGGGAAATGTTACCTAAGGTAAGAGTGGTATTATATTCAGAAGTTAGGGAGAACGGGGTGGGGGGGTGGGGGGAGGGAAGAGGAGGGGGTGTGTGGGGACGATGAATGGAGGATGAACCTTTTCCCGTAGCCCAGAGCCATCTTAGCTACTATACTCAGATGACATCAGAAACTTAGACCAGGCTGAGATCCCTTTCCCACCAAAGCCGCACCCACCCTGGCTTCATTATGGGGACTCCGATCCAGGGTGTGTGGGGGTCCACAACCTCACTGTCACCCCTTGCCCTTCAGGTGAAAGGACTGAGAAGTGCAGTTCCTGATTCCCAGTGACGATTCTCTTTAAGACCTAGGACCTAGGCTGACCCCATTAGAGGAGGAGGCAAGCCTGGAATCCGGAAGCCCACCCTACGACAAATCTCCCCCCTGGCTCAGTTCCTCCAATAAAGTGTTTTCCACTCAAGCGGCTCCTGAATCTGTGTTTCTGTCCTTATCCTACTGGGCTCAGGAGACGAATTAAGGCTGGTAGGGAGAACAGTGAGTTCTCCGAGGCCGGTAAGGAGGTAGATGGGAAGCGGTAAGGGAAATGGGAAGGTACGGACTCCATCTTGCACAGTGAGCTAATCTCCTGAGTCAAGTTTCTAGGGCTCGTTCACGAGTTACCTGTCAACTGGAGATGAGGCATGAGCCACAGGTCCACCTGTCCGACAACAACGGATGGGAGCATTCAAGAGGTGGAGAAACCAGGTGGTCTTAGATGTGGGAGATGGCGATTGGACGGGAGGGGTGTGACGTCATCAACGATCTGCACACGCTCCATCCAATTCCCGGGCCCTTCATAGGGCACCTGTTCAGAGAATGGTGCGTTAGCATCACCTGTGGGTGAAATTTTTGTCTCTTTGAACAAAAGACGCTTATGCAGCCCCAAGTGAAGAGATTGTGGCTTTGATTGGTTTGAACCAGATCAGATGGTATCCAGATCCTTAAAACAACTTGGTATTTTCAAAATTACCAAGAATCAGACATCTGTCTGCCTATAGCTAAGTTGGAATGTGTGTGCATAGTGGCAAGCGTTGGGGAGGGGAGATATTACTTTATTGTTTAGCCAAGTGGCTTCTAAAATCCCTGGTGGAAGGTAGCAACCTGAGTCACCTAGAAGATTGGGGATTAATTCAAGTTTTACAAAAAAAGTAAAAAGTCAGGGTGGTGGGCTGGCGTGCGCCCGCGTGTGCGCGTGAGGCCAGAGAGTGACCTCAGTGTCATCCACTCTGGCTCTCAGCTTAATTTGTGAGGCCAGTTCTCTCACTGAACTCATCAGGGATCGCCCATCAATCCTTAGTCCACCCCTAGTGCAGATTACAGACATGCACAAACAAGCCCAGCTTTCAACCAGGAGCTGGGGATTTCAACCCACACCCTTGCGCTTGTGTGGCAGGCACTTTATAGACTGAGCGGTCTCCTCAGCCCTCTGGTTTTCAGACTTGGACAGGGTGTGGGAATGCACGACTTTAGCCCTAGCATTCAGGGAGCAGAGGCAGGAGGAGCTCAGTGAGTTGGAAGCCAGCTGGGTTTACAGAGCAAGTTCCAGGCCAACCATGGCTATATAGGGAAGTATTGTCTCAAAAAATAAAATAATAAAATAAAATATATAAAAAATTAAAATCACAAACTTTCACTTGGAAGGGAGAATGGGTCAAAGAGAATCACTTTGTTAATTTCATTTTGGGGGATTTGGTTTCAAAATCAAGTGATCAAGAGATGCTTTGGCACCCTGGTTCCTTAGTGTTGTTGGACAGCCTCAGAAATGCTGAAGATTTGTGTTTCTTGAAAAGATACCCATGAGCCATGAGTTCAAACTTCCTCCTTGACCTATAGACACCTTCCCCGCTTGCCTTCTGAGAATCTAAACGCTTTTGTAGCAGTTTAGCATAATAGAACTATTTGGAATCCAAGGTTCAGACCCAGCTTAAATCATAGGACCCACTTGAAATTCCTCCCTTTCTCTCTAGTTCCCTCTCCCCTCTTCTCTCTCTCTCTCTCTCTCTCTCTCTCTCTCTCTCTCTCTCTCAGTCAAGTTACAAATACAGGCTAGTGATGTGACTCTGGCCCTTTCTAAGCTTGTGTACATATCTCTGAAATTAGTGAAGGAATACATGAGAATTCTGACAATCCTTGTATGAAAATTAAATGAAATAAACATCCTGATCCCGTTGCGGGGCCAGGCTCATTATTTGTGCTCTCCAGCTCCCACTCAACCAGAGGACGGACCTAAAGATACGTTCATTCACCCCCCACACTCACCCACCTACTCAGGCACCCATCCCTGCACCTATCTACCCATGCATTCATTCATGCATCTGTGCATCCATGTAGATATCCATGCATGTACCCTCCATCTGTCATCCATCCATGTACCTATGCTTCTATCCTTCTGTACATCTAGTGATCCCTGTATCGATCCCTGCATCCATCCACTCATCCATCCATCCATCCATCCACTCATCCATCCATCCATCCATCCATCCACCCATCCATCCACTCATCCATCCATCCATCCACTCATCCATCCATCCACTCATCCATCCATCCATCCATCCACTCATCCATCCATCCACCCATCCATCCACTC